CTGAAAGTTTGGTCCAGTAAAGGATGGGAGGGGGTAAAGATCCATTCTTAAAGTTTAGTGCAACAAAGGGGTGGGAGAGGATAAAGATTAATTCTGAAAGTTTAGTCCAGCAAAGGGGTGGGAGGGCATAAAGATCAATTCTAGAAGTTTAGTCCAGCAGAGAGGTGAGAGGGGATAAAGATTCGTTTGAGCAGTTTAGTCCAGCAAAGGGGTGAGGTGGGGTTAAAGATTCATTCTGAAAGTTAAAGATTCATTCTGAAAGTTAAAGATTCATTCTGAAAGTTTAGTGCAGCCAAGAGGTTGGAGGGCATAAAGATCAATTCTAAGAATTTAGTCCAACAAAGAGGAGGAAGAGGATAAAGATCAATTCTAGAAGTTTAGTCCAACAGAGAGGTGGGAGAGCATAAAGACTCACGTGAGGAGTTTAGTGCAACAACGAAGTGGGATGGGATAAAAATTCATTCAAGAAGTTTGGTCCAGCCAGGAGTGGGAGAGGATAAAGATTAATTCTGAAAGTTTGGTCCAGCAAAGGGGTGGGAGAGGATAAAGATTAATTCAAAGAGTTTAGCCCAGCAAAGGGGTGAGGTGGGGTTAAAGATTAATTCAAAAAGTTTTGTCCAGCCAAGAGGTGGGAGGGGGTTAAAGATGAATTCAAGATACTGAGATCACTCTGAGTGGTCTCCACTCTCCACAGGGAGAACTTGAAAGTTTAGTGCTAAAAAATAATTCAAAAAGTTTAGTCCAGCCAAGAGGTGGGAGGGGGCTGAAAATTAATTCTGAAAGTTGAGATCGCTCTGAGTGGTCTCCACTCTCCACAGGGAGAACTTTTAAATTTAATTCCAGCACTAAACTTGTGTTTATCCTGTGCTAGTAACTCTAGAGAAAGCCACAAATACTTAATATGTGATATAAAAATATATTACATAGAATTATAATTAATAATTAATTAATAATATAACATTATAATAATATTACATATTATATTACAGTAGTATAACAATACAACAATATTATAATTATATTATTACATATATTACTATATCATTTTAATATAGACTATTATAATAATATAACTGATAAAACTATAATTACTATCATTAACATGTTAAATATATCTTATGTTGCTATATTATTATATATTATATTAGACTAATGTTCTATTGTTACATTGTATCATATAATTATTAATATATATTTATTTTTCTATATAAAATACATATTTATATATATTACTATATATGTATGTATATATAACTACTTTATATATTTTTATATGTAGAAATTATACACACAAATGTAATGTAAAATATATCTAATAAATAGCTCTAATAAAATATATCTAATAAATAGCTCTAATAAAATATATATAATAAATAGCTCTAATAAAATATATAATAAATAGGTCTAATAAAATACAGATATAATCATAGAAAGGCACTTTAAAGATCATTTAGTTCCAGCCCCCTGCTGTGGACAGGGACACCTTTCATAATAAATAATAATATTAAATAATAATAAATAATAAATAATAATAAATAATAATAATTAATAATTAATAATAATAAATTCTCCATGCTGTGTGTCCTGTGGGACTCGAGCTGGGTCAGGATCTCAGTGATGAAAATGAGGAATTTTCATGGCAGTGAACAAATGGCTGAGCCAGGGTTTGATATTGGATATTTGTCAGGAGCTGATCATTGATTGATTGGGGGTTGGCTCATTGATTATTGATTGATTGGGGATTTGCTCATTGATTATTGATTGATTGGGGTTTTTGTGGTGCTGATTGATTATTGATTGATTGGGGATTTGCTCATTGATTATTGATTGATTGGGGATTTGCTGATTGATTATTGATCAGATTGGGCTTTGCTCATTGATTACTGATCAGATTGGGGGTTTGCTCATTGATCACTGATCAGATTGGGGTTTGCTCATTGATTACTGATCAGATTGGGGTTTGCTCATTGATTACTGATCAGATTGGGATTTGCTCATTGATCACTGATCAGATTGGGGTTTGCTCATTGATTACTGATCGGATTGGGGTTCTGCTCATTGATTACTGATCGGATTGGGGTTTGCTCATTGATCACTGATCAGATTGGGATTTGCTCATTGATTACTGATCAGATTGGGATTTGCTCATTGATTACTGATCAGATTGGGGTTTGCTGATTGATTATTGATCAGATTGGGGTTTGTGTTGCAGAAACTGGATGAGAGCAGCTCCTCTGAGGGCAGCACCATTGATATCAAGCCTGAAGTGGAGGAAGTCCCTGTGGAAGCCCCCGAGGAATACCTGGACCCTGATGCCTGCTTCACAGAAGGTGACAGGGCAGGGAGGGAGGGGGTTTGGGATATTCTGGGCTGAGCTCTGAGCTCTGAGCTCAGCTCAGGCTTAGGCCCAGCCTCATCTCCAGGCCCTTCCTGGGCTGCTGAACTGGCTGAGGGGAATTTGCCAAGAGAGGCTCTCAGAGCTGCAGCTGCCACTGC